GGGGAAATTATAATCAAAGCAGTGACCTGTAACAGGCATTTATTAAATAATGGTAAGAAAATGAAAAAGGATCCTACAGATAGATACATCAACTAATTCTAGCATAGAATTTGATGTGAATAGTCCCACTTATAACATGTTCTCTAACACTGTTCACATCTAGGCACCCAGTTTCCACTATTTAATTAGCTACAACCTACACTGCCTGCATCATTTAAAAGTACACACACACACACACACTCTCATCCTGCTTTATAAAAAGTAACTGACAAATATCCAAATGTTTTACCAGACTGCTCCTGTATCATGCTACAGAGAACATCTATTCCCTGCCAATCTCTGGTGACTTAAAGGCAATATGGGATCAGTTTACTTCTCACTGTACTGTACTTTTCAATCTGCAAAGAAAACCCATTGCCTTTCTGAAATAAATATGCAAACATCACAGCCTCCATCCACAACAAAAAACTGGAGGCCCAGCTCGTTGCTTGGTCAAATCAACTTAGGTTCACTTCAGTAGGGCTATGCTGATTTATAGAAATAAAAGAGGTGGTCTGATGAATACTTGCAAACCATCTTTCTAAGTCATGGCTAGGGAAGAGTATTTGTTCAGAGTCCCCACCTCTCCTTCCCCACAAGCACAGACTCCTGCCCTCTACCATGGGCCTAGCAGCTGCAGAACTGGGATCTCCTCTATTAGGTGACAAGCCACACAGGGCAGGGGCCATTTCCCCATTGCCCATGCCTCTGGACACTACCACAGTGCATGACATCCTGTAACAACAATAGTGTAACATCAGCATTAAGGAGGTGACCCCGGCAACTCAGCCACTACGCTCCACAGTGTCAAGCTGCACTGGTTGTGTTTGGCACCCAGCAGCCTTTTCTCAGAAGGGTTGTCCAAGTGAAATAGGACTTAAAAGAAATACATTAATTATCAAAACTTAATTCACCAAGTCTGCTTGAGAGGAAGACTTTTCATATGAGGTAAATTGCAGGGCTTAGTTCAGAGAGTCCAATGTGCACAGAAAGTTGATTCAAAGCAGCCTTCCCCATCCTGGCACAGGCCTGGTTGTTCCCTCCTCTACAGCATTGCTTCAGGAATACAGTGTCATCATCATCCACTGTAAAATAATGGGGAAAGTGAATTGAAGTCATCCATCCCTGAGAGAGCTCTGCGATGTTCACAGATGAACTGCATTATGGGGCACTGGAGATTTTCTGTTGCCAGAAGGAGCAGAAGCCATAACAGAGCAGAAGACTTATAAGCCTGAAGCTGCTTGTTGTTTCTAACCTATTCTGTAAGTGATCAGGTAAAGATACCGGTTTTAATGCTACAGAACAAAACATGCAGTGCCACTTGCAATGAAGGAGCCTGCATTTGACAGTCAGGGAATGGGCTTTACCTCAGATTCCCGGAGATATATCCCTTTGCCATCTTGTGTTAAGTTGCGAAAGGCCTCTGTGAAAGAAATAAATGAGGAGTGTTAACTTGATAGCCAAGAGATCAACAGCCGAGACACTCTGTCTCAGGAAAAACCTCAAAGGCAGAGCTTGTAGGCTATTCACAAGCACATGTGGGCTTCTCTGTTCTGCCACGGGGAGATCCCCAAGGGCTGGGACACAGGAAGCAGCTGAATAAAGTCAGGCATGTTACTTTATGTCCATCCAGCTGTGAAACCTCGAAATGCAGGCAGTCCCAGCCCCACCCACTACAGTTTTGAGACATGTGCAAAATGTCTACAGCACAAGTTCACAGACTTGAGTATCAGCTGTCCCATCATCACAGCTGCAGTCCCACCAAAGAAAGGTATATTCCAAGGCTCTTTTCTTCCTGGAAAATGAGCAGTCTTCATCTGTAATTTGCCTAGCTCCTCCTACTGGCACAAACCTGCAGGGAGCTAAATCACTCTGATATATACAGCCTGAACGGTGGAAAGGTAAAGAGAGGAAGCGTGATTTCCTCTATATGTGTTCCTGCTTTAAACTGATTATTCTTGATCTATTCAGAAACCCACTTCTCCGAATTTTGACCTTTCCACTGTCACCTGGAGCAGCATCAGAAGGGCCAGGGCTAGATGGGGCAGCCCAGCTTGCCTGGCCAGCCATGTAATGCCAGTCTCACCTCCCATGATCTCCACTCGAAGCATGAAGCACACAAAACTCTCAAAGCTGATCTTTAAGTCAGGGTCACCATATCTGATTGCCATCAAATTACAGACTTCATTGCTGAGCGAAATGCCTTCATAAAAGGGGAAAAAAACAAAAAACAAACAGAAAACAGAATGAGATGGCAGCTCCCAGCTGTACACAGCTGAATGTGCTATTGGTGTGCACACAGCTGTGAGCATGCACAACTGAGTGGCCTGCAGCCCTTCTCCAATAGCTTGTTTTTTCAAACCTCCCCTAAGATAAATATTAGCCAGCCCAGAACAGACCACTACATGAAGATCTCTCCTCCAAATCCATAAGGGTTCAGACGTGATCCCCTATACTCACAGTCCTTCCAGAGATGGAATAAAATAAACATGGGCATCCTTTGCTCATGGTGTATGAAGGTAATAACAGAAGCTGTGTTTAAGAGCAATACTCCACAGGAGGGTAGGAAAAGAGGTGAAAAAGAAAATCCAGAGGAAGCTCATACAGAAAACATCAGTCCCAATGTCAAGCAGCATTTGCAAGGAATAAAATTATTTTCTATTCATGGCCTGGGATTTTAATTTGCTTTAGCAGAGATCCCCCTGGGTTTCTCACTGTGTTTTCCCTGACTCAGATGAACTGGGTGAACCACACACCAAACACAGGAGTGATATTTAATCTGTAAACATGCAAAAGAAGCTACAAGACTGAGCAGAAGCCCCCACTCAAAGCCCAGGAACAACAACATAACTTGGACCCATATGTATCATCTTCCATTTCTAGATCAAACTTCAGACATTATATCAGTGCAGTCTGGCACCAGTATTGCCTCTGTGAAAGTCCCACACTTCCAGCTTCAGTCCCCGAGATGTCGTTTCAGCAGAGGTACCAATTTAATATGAGCTAGATCTGACCTCCTGCATGTATCCGCACAATCCCACAGTCTTTTAAAATAAATTAGCAATGAACAGGAAGGGATTTAAAAACTGGGTCTAAAATAGACAGACACTTCTGTTTCAGAGAACTATCAGTACTGGACCATACTGGAGCAAAGATTAAGTAGCCCATCCCACAACAAAATAATTTTCAAATGTGTTTGCCCAGCTAAAAAGGGAAACAGAAATGGTTAAAACCATGCAGCCTGTGATGTTTTCCACTCTTCCTGGGCTCTACCTACAATTCTCAAGATGATTCCCAGCCCTGAGCTTTTTCCAGCCTTTATGAGGAAGAGGATGAGACATGTCAAGATGTGCTGTGGCCTCACCTGTCTCCTGTACAGCTGTATACAGTTCTACAAGGTCAAGCTTTCCTGATCTGCTACTGTCTCTTTTCTGAAAAACTTCCTGGGAAGAGG